CCTGGAGGCGATTAGCCATAGATCACATCAGGGCGATGGGTTTTTCATGGTACCCAGGAAAGCCTAACTTTCCCGTGAGCACTTCTGAGAAACACTGGGTCTAGAGCAGTCATTCCAAACTCAGGCCATTTTGTTACTTGGTGGACATTTGGCACTGTCTCCAGCATTTGGGATGATCACATTTGTAGGCGTGCTCCTGGCATCCAGTAGGTGGAGGGAGGCCAGGGGTTCTGTTGAACTTCCATCCCACCATGAACAGGACACCTTCTCCTGCCCCACCCGTACCACAGAGGGTGCCCCTGTGCCAATAGCACTGAAGTGGAGAGATCTTGCTCTGGACAGTCTCAGAGGCTGCTGAGCAGGGTAAAATACAGTTCCAGAGCTCCTTCCTTGCTGTAAAGTAGGGCTTATTTCTGGTCCCCTTCTAAGATACCGAATTGGAAGTGCCCGCTCTTCAGTGCCTAAGTAAGGTAAAATACTTTGGGAAATTTTAAAATTCATGTAATTTGCACTGTTCAAAAATATCTTTGGATAAAAGAAATATAACTTGACCTACATATTTAGTACAACACAAATTTTAAATAAAGTCAGCATGCACTTCATCTCAGGATAGATTAAACTGCATTGAAATTTCCTGATGTTTTTATGGCAAGCAGGGTGCAGAGTGATGCTCTTGTTGCCAGGTGCCATCGAGCCGGCTCTGACCCATAGCAACCCTGTGCATAGCAACCCTGTGCATAGCAACCCTGTGCACACCTATTGTTCCCATGCTTAAGCCCACTGATGCAGTCACTGGGTCAATCCATCTTGTGGAGGGCCTTCCCCTCCTTTGCTGCCCCTTCACTTTGCCAAGTATGATATCATTCTCCAGGGACTAGTCTCTCCTGACAGTCTGTCCAACGTAAGATGAAATCTTGCCATCCTTGCCTCTAAGGAGCCCTCTGGCTTCACGTCTTTCAATACAGATCGGTTTGTCCACTTAGCAGTCCGTTGTACTTTTATTTTTATTTTATTTAAAAAAATTTTCCCCATAGTACTTTTAATATTCTTCTCCAGCACCACAATTCAAATGCATCGATCCTTCTTCAGTCTTCCTTATTCAATGTCCCACTTTCCCATGCAGATGAAGCTATGGAAAACACCATGACTTGGATCAGGAGCAACTCAGTCCTCAGAGTAACATCCTTGCTTTTCAATACTCTAAAGAGGTCTTATGCAGCAGATTGACCCAGTGCAAGGTGTCCTTTGGTTTCCTGGTTGCTACTTCCATGAGCATTGCTTTGTGGATCAAGTGAGGCAAAATCCTTGGCAACTTCCATCTTTTCTGTTTATCATATGTAACCTATTTGTCCAGCTGTGGAGTGCCCTAGATAGTCAATAAAACTCAAGTAAATGCCTTTCTATTGTTCTCTGCTTTTAGCCAAGATCTATCTGACGTCAGCTAAAATATTCCTTGTTCCATGTCCTCTTCTGGATCTGGAATGAATTTTTGGTGCTTTTCTGTTAATGTCCTGCTGCAGTCTTTGTTGAGTGAACTTCAGGAAAACTTTACTTGCACGTGTTATTGATGCTCTTGTTCAATAATCTCTACAATCTTTTTTTGGAATGGATGAAAATATGTATCTCTTCTAGTTAGTTGGCCATGTAGAGAGTTTCTTGGCATAGGTAAGGGAGTGCTTTTTGTGATTTATCAGCTTGTTGCAATATTTCAATTGGTATTTTGTCAATTACTGCATATGTATATATAATTTTGAAAATTTAACTATGGATAGATTACATTCTGAAATGGTAACATTTGGCATCTATTGGGGGTAAACAAACTATTTCATTTCATTATTTTTCCCATGCCTTTTAAGTTTTAAAAACATTGCTTGAAATAGTAAAATTACATGTGCAGACCATTGTATATGAGGTGGTTTCCAACAGTTCAGGGAAAGTAGAGGTCAAAGAGAAGTGCTCCCCACCCCCCCCAAAGATTTTGTAAGCTTTCTAGTCCTTCGTTTGAACAGCAAGCTCTGGGTTCCACACTCTTTTTCTCACAACTCCCAATTTACAGATAAGAAAACTGAGCTTGAGAGAGGTTACTGTAAGTCTTTCTTTTTCAAGGCTACATCTACATTTTAACAAGATTCCCAGGGAATTCTTACAGATGCTGAGGATCTTGTTAAACTTGGGTTTGATTCAGTGTATCCGAGGAAGAAAATGCAAGTGGTCAGCAGAAGGCCAGGCCAGAATGAACTGGACAATAGTTTGAAGTCACGTTCTTGAGGCCATTGTTGATTGTCTACCCTCCTGTTACTTTTGTGACCTTGTGTAAGGCAGATGTGAATAGGAAAACAGAAACTCGGAGTTGCTGGAAATGGTGTTCAAGGTCACACTGCAGTCAGGTTTGGAGGCAAGTCAATGTCCTCAGCTGCAAACCCTTCCTTTCAGGGGTGGTGGTGAGGAGAAAGACTTAAGGTATGGAAGGCACTGTGTGGGGAAGGTACCCTCACTCTCAGGACGCTGAGCATCGTCCTTCACAAGGATGGCTGGCGAATGGAGTAGCCTGGAGCCTGTGAGTTAAAAGAAGTTACTTCTTCAGGAGAAACGGTGACTCATTAAATGCCACTGACTGGTTCCCATTACATTCTCGTTAGCGCAAGACATCAAGATAATTGGTAAATCCCACAATAGGATGTTTGGGGGTTGAAATGAGTTTCTTTCTTACGTGAATGATTGCCGATCATAAAAGCCTGGGGTGCCACCCATCTGAAATGCATCAGGATGTTCAGTCCTCACAATAGGACTTGGCCATGTTTTCTGCTATTTAAGGCTGTAGGAGTCCTGGGGGCACAATGGCCATGACTCAGCTGCTGACAGAAAGGTCAAGGGTTTGAGTCCCCCAGCTTCTCCGCAGGAGGGAGAGGCGGGCCGTCCACTTCTGTTGAAACCCTCCGGAGAAATTCCACTCTGCACCGGAAGGTCGCTGTGATTGGAATGAACTTGGTGGCACTCAGAGCAGGGCAAGTGTGGCCCCATCAGAGTTGGGCACAGCAGTCTGACCTTGAGGGACCCCAAGGTAGCCTCCATGACCAGAAGTCCCATTCTCCAAATCTCATGATCCTGGTTTTTGTTTCCTTCCCAATGTCCCTGCTTTCAGGGAAGGGAAATGTGGTGTTACTGGTGGCACTGACCGCTACAGTGCCTGGTAATGCACCAAGCCTTGACACAGGAAGAGGTTTTTAAAATTTTGTTAGAATATCATTATTAAATTTATCAAAATGAAGCTGTTTTTCAACATATCCTCCATCTAAATCAGTGGTTCTCAATCTTCCTTATGCCGCAACCCTTTCATACAGTTCCTCATGTTGTGGTGACCCCCAACCATAACATTATTTTCGTTGCTACTTCATCACTGTCATTTTGCTACTGTGATGAATCAGGCGGCTCCTGTGAAAGAGTCATTCAACCCCCATTCGACCCTTTGGGGGGTCGCGACCCATAGGTTGAGGACCGCTGATCTAGAGCCTTGTACTTCTTTGGAAAAAAAAATATATTTTGAGTTGGGTGAAGGCTTACAGAGCAGGCAATCCGTTTCACGTTGAACAATTCACATTTATTTGCTCAGCGCATATTCATTTCAATCCCACAATGCAACACGACTGCCCCGCCTCCGCCCCGCGTTCCCCACTCCCGCTCCTCCTCCTGACCCTTCTGAACGCAGCCCTTTTGATCTCAAAAGGTTGGCTGGTTGGCCGGCTCGCCTATGGAGCGCTTACCTCCTTCGAGTTATTGTTCCCCTGGTAGATCTGTCGATTGTTTGGCTGAAAATTGAGGCATGGGGTGAGTTCAGTTTCCGATCTGAAAGGTGCGGTCTCGTAGTATCTATCCACCTGATAAGCCTGGTCGTTTTTAGGATTTTTGAGTTTTCGTCCGAATTTTTCCCTCACTCTATCCAGGATCTTCTCCTGTGATCCTTTCCAAATAAGTTGGTAGTGGTAGCTGGACACCGGACACTGATCACAGAGAAATGTTTAAAGATGTTTTATTTGGGAGAAACCTGTGTGTGTATGAATTGGAACCTGAGTCTCAAAACTTTTTTTTAACTTAGTAGCAAAAATTCATGGAAAAATTAAATGAAAATTTCCCATGAGCTTTTAAAAGCATTCTCATACATATATATGGGTATATGTAATGTATGATGTAATATGTATATACAGACATTGGAAGGATGTACACCAAGCTGTTACTACATATGTGGTATTATGTGTAGGGGCATTCACATAGTACATAGGTAGATACATACATGCCCATAATGACCCCATAGGGCAGAGTAGAACTGCCCCTGTGGGTTTCCGCGATGACAACTCTTCATGGGAGTGCAAAGCCTTGTCTTTGTCCAGTTGCTGTGGATCAGAATTGATTCAAAGCCAGTGAGCTCATTTTTGTTTTGTATACCTGTATATGCACTTACGTCTTGTCTATATCTATGGCAATGGTTCCTCTATGGTACATACCAACATGTGAGTATTTATATATGTCATGTTTGTATCGCTGTCTGTGTGGTAGGCGTGTATGTGTGTGTAAAGACTGGGAGATAATTCTTACTATGTTCTCATAAAATAATCATTGTAAGCATTTCTTCTGTCTAAAGTTGGGAGTGGTCTTGGAGGATCGACGGGGCTCAGTGGCTGTGATCCGTCCCAGGGAGCAGAAGTTCGGGCGCTGGGCCCAGCAGGAACGGACTCACTAAACCCTGAACAGGTTGCTCTGAGCTCACCTCAACCTCCACCTGCGATCTTGACAGGCTTTCCGTGGGAAACATGCTTTCTGGTTTCCAAAACGCCCACTCACAACCACATATTTTCAACACAGGCCAGGCTCCGTGGACCGTGGCGGTCAGTGGAGGGACTCTTTCCCAAGCATGCATAGTGCAATGGCCCACGGAGATTCTTGGTTTACCTGGCCTGGTGGTAGCCACGTGATCTTGACCCCTGGCCTCTGTGTCTCCCACACAGATCAACTGGACATCATCTCCATGGCTGAGACGACCATGATGCCAGAGGAGATCGAGCTTGAGATGGCGAAAATCCAGCGTCTTCGAGAAGTCTTGGTTCGGAGGGAGTCGGAGCTCCGGTTCATGTGAGTGATGGAGTTTGGGGGAAGTGATGGAAGGGGTTGGGAAGAGGGAGGGCACCAGGGCACCTGACATTTATTGATCACCTATTGGATGCCAAGCCCTGGGGCAAAGGCATTATGTACTTCTTGTTTTCCTCATTCCGCGGGTACCATGATCTTCAGTTTTAAATAAGACATGGAGGCTGGATTGAGTCTAGGTTGGTCTGACCCCGAAGCCCAAGCTCTCTGCCCATAGGAGAGTGGGGAAGACAACAGAGAGACCAGAGAGAGCTGGGGAGATGGAGGCAGTGCCCTGTGCTGAGGTCCTTTGGGTCCAGGTAAATGTGTAATCCAAAACAGAAACAGAGGCTTCACCAGCACTCCAGGAGCCCTGGTGGCGCAGTGGTTGAACAGGCAGCTGTTGACTGAAGGTCAGCATCTGGGAAACACCAATGAAGTTCCACAAGAGAAAAATCCGCTTCCAGATACAGATCACAGCCACAGAAACGCTCGGAGAGGTCTGCCCGGCACACGGGTGGCTGTGAGTTGGAACTGAGCTGGCAGCACCCAATAAAAACAAAGGATGGCTTAGTGAGTAAGCTGCTAACACTACCTGTCAGCTCCTGGCCCCGTCTCCGCACAAAACAGCAGCAATGGCACACCTTCCAGGTACTCACTAATCACGGCGTTCTGTCAGCGCTCTGAGGCTGGTCACCGGCTGCCAGCCCATTCAGCAGATGAAGAGACTGAAGCGCAGAGAAGTTAAGCAACCTGCCCAAGGCCTCCCAGCCAGAACATCGGAAGTTAAGATTCAGACTAGGTCTCCCTGCTCTCAAAACCCATAGCTTTGTGTTTGTTTTTGTTGTTGTTTGAGGGGTAGTGGTGATTGCAGTGGAAATATACATAACAAAACATTCAATAATCCAACCATTGACGATGGGGACACTTCACAGACATGGATGACATCCCTCATGGTGTGCGACCATGCTCCCTGCCCTTCTTCAACTCGTTCCATCTCCATTAACAATACCCGCCCCCACCTTACCCTTTCCTCCCGCCTCTTCTAACCACAATAATCTTTAGTTTCTATCTATTTGTTGATTTCATACAACGGACTTATTTTGCCCTGCTTTCAAAATTCCCCCGTGCATCAGAACATCATTTGTATTTACAGCCGGGCAACATTCCAGTATATAGCCCAGCCTCAACCCCAACCCCAGGTCATCTCTAGTTCATATTTTGTTTATCCAGTCGTATGAGCATTTCCATTAAACCCATCTTCTTCCTATGACCTATGACCTCTATGGTCACCTCAACACATGGGCTCTGAGGAACAGCTTCCATTTATTCTCTTTACAGATGCCAGGCCCTGTGCTAAATGTCCTGTCTCTGCATTCCTTTTTCATTCTCTCAGAAGTCCTCAGGGAAGGTTCTAGAATATCCCCACTTTACAGATAAGAAAACTCCTTTCATAGAAGGTGGGGTAGAAAGGGGGAACCGATTACAAGGATCTACATATAGCCCCCTCCCTGGGAGATGGACAATAGAAAAGGGGGTGAAGGGAGACATTGGACAGTGTAAGACACCACAAAATAATAATAATTTATAAATTATCAAGGGTTCATGAGGGATGGGGGCGCAGGGAGGGATGGGGAAAATGAGGAGCTGATACAAAGGGCTCAAGTAGAAAGCAAATGTTTTGAGAATGATGATGGCAACAAATGTACAAATGTGCTTGACACAATGGATGGATGGATGGATTGTGATAAGATTTGTGCAAGCCCCCAATAAAAAGATTTTTTTAAAGGTAAACAAAAAGAAGGAAACCTCCCCTCTTTGGGAATAAGCTCACCTTGCCTGTATGAGTGTTTGGATACAGTCCCACATTCCCATTGTTTACAAACAAAGACGGAGCGTTCGGGCTGCTCTAAAGGTCTAGAGCCCCTTCAGCCCTTCAGGGGCTCTGGGGGAGCCCCACATTGGCTTTGCTGCCAAGAGAAAGGGGCGATGGCTGTTGCTTTGTGTTCGCATCGGTTTGCATGATGTGTGCGCATCTGTGTGTGTGTCTGTGAGCAGTTCCCGTGGCATCTAGCACGTACCTGGTTCATGAACCCCAAAGACTCCGGGAGTCCATTCAGACTCGGTGACCCTGGAGGCCAAAGTGGAGCTGTCCCCATCGAGCTGCCAAGGCTGTGATCTTCATGGAAGTCCACTGTTTATCTCTCTCCCACAGAGGGGCTGGGGGCTCAAATCGCCAGCCTTTTAGACAGAAGCTAAGTGCTTAACCACTGCACGGCCATGACTCCTGCCGGGCACCTAGTGAATGTTTAATTATAAAAGCAAAACCAAACAAACTGTCGTTGTCGTCGTCAACCCAATGGGTTCAGAGTAGAACTAGACTCCACAGAGCTTTCAATGGCTGATTTTTTGGGGGGAGGGGTAGATTGCCAGGACTTTATTCCAAGGCACCTCTGAGTGGACTCAACCCTCTCACCTTTTGCTTAGTAGTCCATTGCATTATCCAGTGGCGGCACCTAAAAACGCAAATAATAGCAACAGTTGATATTTTTGAACCTCTAACTCGAGGGCCTGGTGGTAGTTGTGGATTAGGCATTGGGTGGCTAACTCAAGGTCAGTGGTTCAAACCTACCAGCCACTCCAAGTGAGAAAGATGAGACTGTCGCCCCTGTAAAGGGTTCCAGTCTCAGAAACCCTATATACAGTCCCTACGAGTCAGAATCAACTTCATGGAGACTGGGAGCCAGGGAGATCTGGGCCCGGCACTGCCCAGAGCACTCGGCCTGTGATCTCATTGACACTTCCCACCGAGCCCAGGAGTCCCACCCCTTGTGGACAGATAATGAAGGTGGACACAGATTGATGCAAAGCCCAGGCTGGGCAGCCACGTGAATAAATCAAATGAAGTTCTTTTCTCTCAAGGATACAGAAGGGAATCCGAGCAATTGGGATCCAGAGAAGAGCGCAGTGACATTTCCCGGAGGAGGGGGCCAGCTTTCAGGGCCTCGGAAGTCTCAGACAGCCATGGAGCGCAATGGGGGCCCTCCGCCCAGCTTGGAGACACACTGGGGACAGTCTCATCTGGCCGGGCGCACCCACCTCCTCAATCTCGGAGATATACAATGCACTCGAGGCTGGCCAGCAGCACCCTCAGACCCAGACAGACCACGCTTTCACCATTCTCAGCCTCCCAGGCTAGTGGCCCTCGGGCCCGCGTGCGTGCTTGAATTCACATTCCCAGCTGTCTGTTCCTCCGAGTTATATTCTTATGTAGCTGTAGGGCTTATTCTGCAGATGGGTCCCTTTCTACTGTAGAAGGGGGCTGGGAGTGGGGTGGTGTTGGAGATCAAGAAATTTGCCCCAGGTTATATTTGAGACGACCTAGCCGTGTCAGAACTGGAAGCTGACTTCAGGGAGAGTCCACTTGCTAGTGAATGAATGGGGGGAAGGAGAGACAGGGAGGGTAGGAAGAGAGCTTTGAATCCATCCACCAAGACAGTGCCTTATAGAATGTCAACCCCCCTCTCCCCCAAGGCGGGGACCTTCTCTTGCCTTGCTTACCACCACATCCTCCTTCCCAGCATCTTGAACTTGGCCTGGCCCCGCTTCCTAATACTGTGTATGCTTCAGAGCTGAGAGGGAGGCAGAATTCAGACCAGTTAAGCATGTGCAGGCAGCTTAAAGGCGAGCAGTGCCGCAGCCCTTGGCTGCCTGCATCCCTGTGGCCAGAGCGGTGATGAACAGGGAAGATTGGTTCTGTCACATCTGCTCCCAAGTAATCCCGTTATAGCCAGCAGCTCCCCCAGAGACCCTGTGAGTCAGATGAGAGTGTCCTCATTCTTTCACGCTTTCCTGCTGTGTGGACCCCCGAAAGGGCAGGCTCCGCGGCTGTCCATTCCCCGCCTCCACTCAACACCCCCAACATTTATAACGA